AAAGAGCTCCCCCCTCAATTATGGTATCGGTTTTTTTGAAAAAGTAGAAAAAATTAATCACTACTTGGTAAGCACATAGCAACACTATTTTTTTCCAAAACCGTTTTTCTTCTGCGTAAATCTTTAGCTACAAACCAAAAAGGATAAATAAACGAGTTGAATCAACTGTAATCTTTCAACGGTAAATAAGTCTATGAGAGAGCTTGTACGAACTCAACTTTACCACCAATATTTGACTGCTTGTTGGTTGATTAGTCTAGGTCGCTAAAATTCCGTATCACAGGCTCAAAAGTACACACCGAGCAAAACTGCTCCATCCTTGCTCCCCTAAATTCAGTTTTAGGTGGCGTCCAGCTAATTTTTTGCTCTTTCTGCTACACTAAATGAAAAATTATTGGAAATAAAACTACTGCAGTTGAAACATGTTTTTAATTTCCAGTTGAGAGTATCAATAATACACTAAAATATGCCAAAAATTGTTCGTTGAAAAATGGTAAAACTTTTCTGGAAGAAAATCTATCCCCAGCACAAATTTTCTGTCATTTTCTTTCAAACTTTTCTTTAGACAAAAGTTTCTTATGACAAAAATGAAAACCACGCAAAAAAAAGAAGAGAAAACTTTTCGGATGAACAAGGTGGCTCATAATTGAGCAGGGCTATCACTGATAATACTGTGATATGAAAACAAAAAATAATTATAGAAAAAAAAAGAATGATACTGACAGAGAACTAGTCCTGCTGATGAGTTGAGCGTTGGTATTGTTTGTACTGCCAAAAAAAATCTACAATGTTCTAACAGCCTTGTAAAGTCTATGAACTAGTTTTATTATCGAAAAAAATGAAAACTTGTTCAAGAAAAAAATAATTAAAAAATGGAGTTCCTTGTTGAAAACTGTTCTTCATCTGTTTTTCTGAGATTGAATTTTTTGTTTTTCTAAAAAACAAATAGTGATTTTTTATGTTCAATTTTAGACAAAAGTTTCTTATGACAAAAATGAAAACCACGCAAAAAAAGAGAAAACTTTTCGGATGAACAAGGTGGCTCATAATTGAGCAGGGCTATCACTGATAATACTGTGATATGAAAACAAAAAATAATTATAGAAAAAAAAAGAATGATACTGACAGAGAACTAGTCCTGCTGATGAGTTGAGCGTTGGTATTGTTTGTACTGCCAAAAAAAATCTACTATGTTCTAACAGCCTTGTAAAGTCTATGAACTAGTTTTATTATCGGAAAAAAATGAAAACTTGTTCAAGAAAAAAATAATTAAAAAATGGAGTTCGTTGTTGAAATTTTTCGAAACTTTGATTTGATTGTAAGTTGAAATTTGATAACTCTAGCGTCTAGTTTTGTATTATTATAACCAAACAAATTACCCCGTTTCAGTTTGAAACACTTTCTGAGCGGTTTTAAATAACGACCTATGCATCAAAAGCACGCAATATATAGCCCCCTAAAGGTACAAGGGTGGCAATTTCAAAAACCCTCGTAAAACTCAGAAACATAGTCACAGGTGAAATAAAAATTTTCAATTGCTTGACGTCAGTACTTGTCAGATGACATAAAAACTTTGTATTTCAAAGTAGCTAGTTACACTTGCGACAGCAAGTGTCTTTTAACCAGGAACTAGGCTTTTTTCCCGTGAACAATTTTTCTTGCACATTTGTAATTGAAATTGATGTTGATCTAATGGCGATTCTTAAAAATTTCAGGCCCTCTCTCTTCTGGCCTGGAGGTGATCTGGTCGCCTTTGCACATAATGGTCTTGATTTCAAGTACCGTTCGGGCCTTCTTTTTTTTTCAGCGTTGAAAGTGAATTTTTTTCGGGGAAAAATTGAATAGTCGGACTATAGTTTGTCGCCTTATGTTTTGTCGGGTTATTAGCTTGCCGCCACACCACGATTTTGGCTTCGTTGAGCTGCAAGTAGCTTTTATTATAGTCTCCAGATCCTTTATAAATTCTTGTAGTTTTTTTTAAATGTACTATCCGGGATTATTTTTCTTTTTGTGCTTTTTCGCAACTAGTTTTATTCGGCCTAAATAAATTCGGCTCATGTTTTGTCGCTTTTGCAAAATTTAATTTGCATTGGTTTAATGATAAAAAGTGATTTTTCTTGTTTCTAACAGATCAGGTCAGTTATAATAGAAAAAATTATATATTCAAACAGTTTAATCACTCAAAAATATTTTTGACAATTTTCTTGGCATTTTTCTTTCTGATCAATATTTGTCTAACCACATGTTGTCGTTTTAGTTAACGCTCACAAAACAGTTTAAAAAATATGCTAGTAATTGTATTTTTTTTTGAGATTGAAGTTTTTATACTTCCAAAAAAAATTTGTAATTTCGTACTTCCAAAACTACAACTTCCCGTGGTATTTTTTGTGTTCGGATCAGTCGGCAGCTGACCACGTATTTTGGCTTACCGAACAAACCCTCATAAAATACTAAAAGCTTGTCTAAGCTTGGAGTTGTGTTTTTCAACTGTTCTTCATCTGTTTTTCTGAGATTGAATTTTTTGTTTTTCTAAAAACAAATAGTGATTTTTTATGTTCAATTTTAGACAAAAGTTTCTTATGACAAAAATGAAAACCACGCAAAAAAAAGAAGAGAAAACTTTTGAATCTTTTCATAATTTTTCTTTACAAAATTCTGAAAAAAATTTAAAACAACTTTTATTGCAAAATAAGCGCAGAACGAAAGATCCAAAATTAATATTTTTCATTGTAAAATTAAATTTGGTGAGCCTGAATGTCTTTAAAAAAGTAAGTTTCTTTATAACGAACTTTACTCGATTGCGTTACTCGCTCGAAGTTAGACGATAATCAAAAACATTTCAAACCGGTTTTTCTCGACGGAAAATTTTATTGTCCATTAGAATCACAACTGAAGGGATTTTAAAATGTTATGTCACTCAAACTAGTCCGATGATTGTTTTTAGTATGTATTTTTGCGCGGAAAGCAAAAAAAAAACATTCAAATACAAAGTTCCTCCTCATGTTCAAAGGTCCCAATACTATTAATTATACTGTCACTGGAGCTAAACTATATCGGGTTGCTTACCGAGCGGACGCAATGAAATTGTTTAGCTCTATGCAGAGTAGACCAGGTCTATTTTTTTCAAGAAAAATATAGAATTTTTCATTAATGTTTCTTTTTCGTTTTTTCAAAGTGTCGTTAATCACACTTCTCTATTTCTCTATTTCTTTCCTTCTTTCTTTCTTTCTTTCATTCTTTCTTTCTTTCTTTCTTTCTTTTGTATTGTGGCTGCTTTTTTGGAAAAACCTTGAATTTGAAAATTACCAGATAACTTACAGAGTTAAAGAGCAGGCCAAATTTTCAAGACTTTGCCCTGATTCCAGATGTTCGTTTGCAATGAACATGGAACAAACTGAACGAACAATCATTTCGATCACCAAATTTCGTTTGCAAAAAAAAGTTGTTTTATTCAGTTTGTTCCATCTTAGTCGCGCAATTTAAAATTACAAACAAGACGGCTCGTATCAGGGCAAAACGTCAAATGTTCAACTGCCTTTAAGGTCTATGGAGCAGTAATAGCATGAAAAAGTTAAATGTAATAAAATAAAACGAAAATAAAACAAACTGAATGAACAATTGTTTCGATCATCGAATTTCGTTTGCAAAAAACATTGTTGTATTCAGTTTGTTCCATCCTAGTTGCGCAATTTCAAAGTAGAAACAAGACGGTTCGTATCAGGGCGAAGCGTCGAATATTCTGACTGTCTTTTAAGGTCTATGGAGCAGTAATAACATGAAAAAAGTTATATGTAATAAAATAAAACGAACTTTTTTTTCAATTTGAGATTTTCTACAAAAACTCTCCCCCCACTCATCATATAAATTACAAAGTGAGATTTTCCTGTGAATAGTCTTCTTCAACCAATTTGAAACGATTTCTAAGACAGATTAAATCTCCGCTTACGCGTTAAAAGCGCAAAATATATCGCGCGTTAATAGTCACAAATTGGCCAAAATGGCAACTTTTAAACACTCATAACTTCACAAAAAAATGATCACAGGTAAAATATCTTTTCAAATTTAAGCTCAAGACAACAATAGTTTTTGAATGAAATAGAAAAATTGCCGTCAAAAGTGGCTAGTTACAAAGCCGAAATTTTCTGAAGAAAAAAAACCCTGCTCGAGCACAAATATTCCGTTACTTTCATTATGAAAGTCGGAACAAAAAACCAATTTTAGATTGTTTCAAATTGAAATCCACAGATCAAAAAGGCACATCATATAGTTCCATGTAATTTTTTTGATCTTGGAATTTTAGTTGCCGTACACTGGATGTGCATTGAATCCGGCTCGAGCCACTGGACCAGCTTTGGTCTGTGCCAAAAACCTGAACTTTATCTGGATTTATTGGATCACAGGCTACGTAGGTGCCTTCATGGGTTGTGTGGTCTACTGGTTTTTGAGTTACTGGAGCTAAACTATTCACATGGAACGAACATTCTAGAAAAAGTTGTGGCATCAAGTTCTAGTAAAGATCAACTGATCGTAATCAGGCTTATTCTTCCTTTTTCATTGCTTATGTATTAAATTTTGGTTGAAACACTTTCTAAAAACTGCATCCGATGATTCATGATGGCAGATTTAATAGCTAAAATATTAATTAACCAAAAGCAAATCAGTAAACATAAAGCGACATTTTTTTCAGATTAACAAGAGTAACGGAAGTTATCATACAATAAAAAACCCATTGAATTGATTTTGTCTTAATAAAAAAAACAATTGAAAAAAG